AATGTAGGATCTGTTGCCTGTACTCAAAGTGGTATTTGAGTTTGCTTCCTTGATATTACTACTATTATTTATTTTATCATTAATAAAGTTGAAAAGTATTCTTGTGTTTGGTTTATGGCCCTTAAATGTTCTCACTGCTAAATATTAGTCACTGGTCATGCAGTAGTGACGTAACTGGAGTTTACTCCCCACACACCCCGCCCTTGGATTTCATGAGGGTGACACCAAAGAAGCTGCCCAGGGTGACACCAACCCTAGTGACGCCACTGCACAGCAACACATCCTGGTTCATGGCAACACACCCGGGCTCATGGCAACACATTCAGGCTCACGGCAACACATCCAGGCTCACGGCAACACATCCAGGCTCACAACACCCCCCAGGCTCATGGTAACACCCAGGCTCGCGGCAACACACCCTGGTTCACGGCAACACACCCTGGTTCACAGCAACACACCCAGGCTCAGGGCAAAACACCCAGGCTCACAGCAACACACCCAGGCTCATGGCAACACACCCAGGCTCATGCCAACACACCCAGGCTCATGGCAACACACCTTGGTTCATGGCAATACACCTAGGCTCACGGCAACACATCCAAGCTCACAGCAACACATCCAGGCTCACAACACCCCCCCCAGGCTCATGGTAACACACCCAGGCTCATGGCAACACACCCTGGTTCATGGCAACACCCAGGCTCACGGCAACACACCCAGGCTCACGGCAACACACCCAGGCTCACTGAAACACACCCTGGTTCACGGCAACACACACATACCAGGCTCACAGCAACACATCCAGGCTCACAACACCCCCCAGGCTCATGGTAGCACACCCTGGTTCACAGCAACACACCCAGACTCGCAGCAACACACCCAGACTCATGGCAACACACCCAGGCACAAGGCAACACACCCAGGCTCATGGCAATACACCTTGGCTCATGGCAACACACCCAGGCTCACGGTAACACTTCCAGGCTCACAGCAACACACCCAGGCTCACAGCAACACCCCCCAGGCTCCTGGTAACACACACTGGTTCATGGCAACACACACTGGTTCATGGCAACACACACTGGTTCATGGCAACACACCCAGGCTCATGGCAACACATCCAGGCTCACACCAACACATCCAGGCTCACAACACCCCCCAGGCTCATGGCAATACATCCAGGCTCATGGCAACACATCCAGGCTCACAGCAACACATCCAGGCTCACAGCAACACACCCTGGTTCATGGGAACACATCCAGGCTCACGGCAGCATGCCCAGGCTCACAGCAACATACCCTGATTCACGGCAACACACTCAGGCTCATGGCAACACATCCAGGATCACAGTAACACACCCTGGTTCACGGCAACACACCCAGTCACAGCAAACATACCCTGATTCACAGCAACACACTCAGGCTCACAGCAACACATCCAGGCTCACGGCAACACACCCTGGTTCACGGCAACACACCCAGGGTCACGGCAACACACCCAGGCTCACGGCAACACCCAGGCTCACAGCAACACACCCAGTCACTCTCAGTTAATTGTCTAAATGGTCTAATACATGCCCAACTGTCTGTTTATTGTGTCCATCTGACCGCCTATTATGTGATATGTAGCATGTTTATATAATTTTTCAAAACATGTCAGAGATGGATTATTGAGAATGTATGACAGCATAAATATACGACATTTTTAGCGCCTCAGAGCTACATTCTTCCAGTTTATTGAGTCTTCAACACAAGCAACACACACTTTTAACTACTCCCTCGCCTGGCTTAGCTTCTACTTTCTAACTTGGCACTTACAACTCTTCTCTTTATCACTACTACCCTTAGATGCCATTGTAACACAAAACAGTATTTGTAATAACTTTGTGAATAACTTTAAAATGCTTGAAACTTTGGAAAGTTTCCAGACAGAACTGAGATACACGGAGCTCACAGAGCACATAAACAGTGGCATACAGATGCAGTAATACCGAATCAGGAGGCATATAAACAAATTTTTGGGTATAATTTGAAATGTCCATATTAGTGAAGTGCCATAAAGTGGGACCTTCCTGTATACTGTAACTACAAAAACATAAAAAAAATACATCTTTATGTTCAAGGTTGACAAATTAAAATCTATCTATTCCTAGTAGAGGTAACATCACTATATTTTTAATACTACACATTAATTTCTGTAACGGTTATTGTTTTGCTGTATTTATCATTTTAAGGTACAGATATTTACAAGTTTTATATAACATTAGGCAAGTTTCAGGGTGTGGTAATTCATAAGACATGAATGCAGTGACGTATCACACATCTTACTAGTTTAGCCTACTTCCTAAGAGGAACAAGCTCAGGAAATTGTCTATTAGGTCTGAACTGAAATGAATCACTTGCCAACAAAATCTGACATGGCAGCTAAATGAAACTCATAACAATTGTGGTTTATTTACTCTTAACACTAGGCAAGTACTGAATCCAGTTAGCATTTCTACACCAAAGAGACTGAATTTTATATACATAGTACAGTGGTACCCCAAGTTTCGTACACCTCCCAACTCGAACAATTATGCAGGTGTATTATTTTAAGTGCTTTTGCAAGTGTATTTTTGGGGGTCTGAAACAGACTAATCTAATTTACATTATTCCTTATGGGAACAAATTTGTTCGGTAATGGCACTCGAACAGCCTTCTGGAACCAATTATGGCCGAAACTTGGGGTACCACTGTACGTATACAGAACCACTTGAAACTTTTCCTAACATGCCACAGGACCCAATTTTCACAGATTTGACAACCACACGCATTCTCAGCATAATCAATCCTTCTACCTGATTTCTGGATTAGTTCTTTTAACTTTATTGTACATTCATCTTGTATCATTAGAGTTCTAAGTTTGGCTGTGAGAAGTGTTACATTTTGACTATCAAGCCATTTGCCACATTTCACTGGTATGAAACTTCAGCACTCATTCAAGTGCACGAGTGAATGAAAGAATATGTTTTCTGTTCACTGTCAACATGCAGGTACAGTAATAACAGAGAAGAAAGTCTGTGTATACATTATGCTCCCTTGTCAAAATATATTATTTTACCAAACATATCCTTTATATTTGTCAATTTTCTTGCCTGTGTTACATTACTAAGACTTATTTTGCAATCACACTCTTAAAAAAGTCTTACTACTTCAAGTCACTGAATGTGCATTTCATATAATTTTCCCACAGACCTGTCTCACAATTTTGGCAAGAATTGTGGTCTGCTTACAATGTAGATACTTAAGTTTCTTAGGAAAATTTTGAGTAATTATCACTATAACTGGTACTTTCTAGTCTATATAAACATATTCATCTTCACTTTCCTTACCATCACTGCTGATGCAATCACTATTATGTAATGAAATACTTTTTTCTCTATGGAGATATAGGCTTATTAGTGCGAGAGGCTGAGAGACAAGGTACAGTATTTCGCAGCTTATAAGACTTGTTTTAGTTTCAATGGCTCGGCATTGGACGTAACTGGGAGAGCTACAGCCCACCCCACACCCAAAACTTATAGCGCCTGTCACTGACCATCAGTTTATAGGACGTAGGGTGGTTTTTGGAGACATTTTACGGAAAAAAAAATGCGTCTAATGAACCGTGAAATACAGTATACGTTGCATTAGATAGTACACTTTCATCATTACTTTTGGACAATTCCAAGTTTCTATGAAGTCTTTCAGTCTTTATGTAGAAATCTGCATAACAACTACCAGTGTCAATACTGTATACTTGAGAATCCTCTGACATGACTAGCACCCAACCCCAAAAGTTATTTGAAAGCCTAAGATGGTAAACTATAAGAAAATTTGAGACCATTGTGATTTTTGTGTATACATCAAGCCCAGTTGGCCTCCAAGACGTAACATACATTTAAAACTACAAAAAAAATATACTACATTTATGGGGTTAAGGAATCTCACGAAGTTCATTAAAGCTAAAATGTGATGAGCATTAAGTTTACCTGAGAGAATTCAACTAATGATTGTGTTTATGATGTTATACATATAATGAACAGCATCTAGACTTAGTCATATATGTAGTGACAATATTAAAAGGAGCTACTAAAAATATCTACTGTGGATGACAACTAACAAACTCACTTTCAATATAGACAAAACCTACATGATGTTTGGAAACAGCACTAAATAATTGATTAATTGATCTCCAACTACAAGACACACTGAGGGAAAATTTTTAGTGCTACACCTTAACTGCAACGTTAAATTTTAGCCAAGAAAACATCCAAAACAGTAAGTATCTTTGGTAAGGTACTATATACCCCAAATGGTACTATTTACACTATACCGCTTTCTAATCTACCCTTAGCTCTCCCATGGTATTTGCACTTGGGGATATATCACGGCCAATTGCCTTAAACCATTAATAACCCAACAAAAAGCTGCTTTGCTGATGATTACCAATTCCTGTGCCAAACAACACACCCCTCCGCTCTTCAAGTTTGAACTTAATATACAAAATATGCACTAGTACTGTACTGTTATTTGTTCTTTGCACTCTGCTATAAATTTTATTAATTATAAAATTTTTGGCTACCACTCTATTGTAATTATATAAAATAATGAATAATTAATATTTACCACTCCATAACCTATGTCTAGCTTTAAGTAGTCTGTAAGCATAAGGATTAGTTTGCCCGAAATGCTCAGGCATGTTAGTGGCTTTCTTTGTGCTTAACAATGTTTTATAACACATGTATGTAAACCACACACTGTAAACTTCGCAAAGAAACAAAAAAAATATGAATATGAATCTTATTCTATCAAAACATACTCCTATATAATTTACTTATTACTGTACTAAAACCATTAGGGTTACTTATGAAATTCGGTTTTATAGTTACCTTCTAACATACACAATTGTGCAAAATAAGGCGAGTAATTTAAACAAAATTTATGAAATTAATGAAAAAAATGCAAAAGCCAATTACTGACCTTGGTGATTGCCCCCTACTCCTGCTGCGACTTCTACTACCACTCCGACTTCTGCTCCTGCTCCTACGACCATGTGAATGATACTCTCTCTCTCTCTCCTTTTTCTTCTTCTTCTTTTCTTCTTTACGTGAAGTTGATGCTGTAGCATAATACCTACTACTAGTATGAGGTGGAGTTTCTGAGTTACCCCTTATCTCAATGTACTGAATAGGACTTCGAGAACGAGACCTCTTTCTACTGTACAGAGGAGGAGGGGTGTGGGCACGATGTGAAGCTGACCGTCTAGGTGAATTTCTAGATGGTGGTGTCATATTTCCACGTCTCTGACTTGGCAGTGGAGGCGTGGATGGCCTACGTGGGCTTATGTGGTGTGCCCGGCTGGATCGCTCATAGTTCTTACTGGCCGAAGGTGGCTGAGGTGGTGGGGGAGTCATATGTCTTGTACCCCGATGGCGGGGTGGGCTAGGTGTGTGGGGTGACCTGGGTGGTGATCTGTGTGTGGGTGTTCTTTCGCGTGATCTGTGATGTGACGAGTGGGGTGGCGGCGTTCTCCGCAGCTCATTTCCACGGGCATGATTTGTTTCAGGAAGAGGCTGAGGACTAACTATAATTTCTCCTTCATTGGAACTAAGAGGACTGGGTTCCTCACCACGATTTCTTACCCTAGATGGTGCACCTGATGATCTTGGATCATGACTAGGGATAATTCGTGGAACACTTTTAATAACAATTGCTTCAGAAATATCGTCATCCGAACTAGGTACTACACTGCCATCCGCAACCCCTCCATTATCATCAAATTCTGGACTACCACTTCGAGATTTGTGCTTACTTTTCTTTTTCTTTTTCTTATGTATCACTGGACTGTGTGACCTCTCAGATCTTTTTCTTTTTTTATCTTTTCTTTTTTTGTCTTTTTTGTGTTCTTTTTTTCGGGATCGAGAATGATCTCTCTCTGATTCAGAGGGAGTGCGTGAATGGTGGTATGGTTCCCTAGAGCGATAGTATTCTCCTCTCGTTTCTAAGGACCGGCGATCAGGGGACATGACCACTGGATAAGGTACAAGAGGGCGGGCACTGTGTGGAGTGTGGTGTGAAGTTGTAGGAGATGCTTCAACTTCTCCGTCACTGTGAAGAGGCTCTCGAGGGGGCCTTGGAGGTGGTGTGCGTGGGACGTAAGAAGGACTCCTACTAAGATTTGCACTGTACGATGCTGGACTAGGGCGAGGACTGAGTCTTGAGCGAGATGCTGAACGATGCCGCTGTCTATTTAATCGAGGACTCAAGACAGGGCTATGGCTAGGACTATCAGTGATCTCACCTGCCTCTGGCTCCGAGAATGCTTCTGAACTGACGTCAGAGTACTCAACCAGAGCTCGAGGCTCCCGGACCTGCTGAGGGTCTGCAGGGGAGCCCCGAGGAGCTCCCTTACGGTGTCCTGCCTTATCTTGTTCCTGTGTGTGGTGGCTCTTGGGCTTCTTCACTTCTGGCGAGTGTGGGGCAGTGCTGTGGCTTGGCTGCGGGTCATGGTTTTTGTCTTCTTCCTGGTTGGCATCAGAGAGAGAAGAGAAGCTCTCATCAGACTCAATAGTCTCATGGATGCTCGGCATGTCCCTGGTCACTGGCACCAAGCGCCACACAAACACAATCCCATGATTTCACCACAACCCACCTCCAGCACCACCACCACAACCTTACAGTTGCATCTCTACCATTAACTATCTGAAAAAAAAAAGCAAAGATTTCAAGATAGGATATTAAAGTGACTAAGACTTGTAAGAAAATGGAGGAAAATAGAATGACTTGGAGGGTGTATAAATCTGTAGTGGAGGGGAGGGGGAGTAGGGGTTGTCCTAGGAAAGGATGGAGAGAGGGAGAGGGGGTGTAAAAGAGGTTTTGTGCACAAGGAGCCTGGATATGCAGCAGGCATGTGTGAGCGTGTTAGAAAGGAGTAAACGGAAACAAATGATTTTTGGGACCTGACGAGTTGCTGGAATGTGAGCAGGTTAATATTTTGTGAAGGGATTCAGGGAAACTGGTTAGCCAGACTCGAGTCCTGGAGGTGAGAAGTACAATGCCTGCACTTTAACCCTTTCAGGGTCCAGAGGCCAAATTTCAAAGTGTGCACCAGGGTTCAGGAATTTAAAAAAAAAAATTATTTTTTCTTATGAAATGGTAGAGAATCTTTTTCTGAAGGTAATAAAACAAAAAGTACAAAATTTGATGGAAAATTGACGAAATTACACTCGCGAATTTTCATGTGTCAGTGACATTTACGCATCAGTGATTTTGCCGACTGACCCCCATTTTAGGCCAATTACATTATTCCAGTCAACCAAATTCTTAACTATTTCACTAGTATTACTTCCATTCTATCGACTGAACACAAGAAATCGCCTAGTCAACTGTTTCAACTACAAAATAAAGTGCTTGGAAATTGGCCAATTCAACACAAAGTTCAAAACATTCCAATTTCAAAACAGGGTCCAGAATAAACAATGCAGGCATTCCTGGCACTAAACTAACATTTCCTCTATTCATTAGTTACGTTTTCAGGCTTTACAAATGAATTTCATTTTGATTTTTTATTCACATCATAATTTTTATTCAAACCAAAAAATAGAAGATTTACTGTTATGCAATATTGTAATAATTGTATAAATAATATCACCACATTTGTGAGTGTATGTTAGACCCACCAGCTGGTGTGTATTAGACATGTGAGGTCATTTGTTTACTCTTGAACATCGGCAAAAATTTAACATTTCCACTACTTTGAGCTCAGTTTCAAGCCATTTCCAGTATGTACTAAAACTAATCAAAATCATCTCTATTTCTGTAATATATCTTCCATTCTATCAAATGAGACCAAGAAATCGCAAATACAACTATAAAAAACGTACAAAAAAGAAAACACTGCAAAGTCGCTGTTTTACTAAAAAATTACAGTTTCAGTTCTTTTCTCTCATGCACTATGTGCTGCAGGATTTGTTTTATGTGGTGCACACATACCACATAGATGTATTCTCTCATATCTAGGCCCAAATTTACCGCTCACAGCTTATCAGAGCTGAGCTCATGGCGTAGATCTATGGTTTGGACCCTCAACTCAAAGCCGTAGAACTATGGCACAGACCCTGAAAGGGTTAAAGGAGGGGCTTGGGATACTGACTGACTGAGTGACATGTAAACTGCCATATCTGGGCACCTCTGCAAAGACAGTGATTATGAGTGAATGATAGTGAAAGTGTTGAATGATGGTGAAAGTGTTTCTTTTTTGGGTCACCCTGCCTCGGCGGGAGATGGTCAACGTTAAAAAAAACAGTTTTTATGTACTGTATGTAAGAACATCTCTATAAAGGAAGAGTATGTTAGGTGAACCATTTACTCACTAATCATTTAACAAAACATAGGTTTGATTAGTGCACTATATGACCCACTGACAGATTCAATGTTATATGTAATTGCAACAACTTTGAATAAGTCTATCAATAGACAAAATGACATGTTTGACTGGAATAAGTTCATAAAAATCATCAAATATCTAAAAAGTTAAACTCTATATACAGCAATAAACCAGTGCATCTACAATTCTACAGCACAATGTTTCTGAGTGAACCTTAAACCTTTGCTCTCTAGGGTTTAAAGAGGGCTCTATGGAGTTATCTTTTGAATTACAGCTTTGGTTCATTACTTTTTCCAATAGACTAAGCTCTAGGAAGAAACGTACTTAAATTAAAAACTTTACAGTAGCAAAAACAGATCTCTGTTGCACCCATTAGTAATATTTTCCTAAGACAACCTGTTTTTTTTCTCTTATCACTGCTCACATTTTTCTCTCAAATGAAGTCTTTAACAATTTTTATAGCCCTACTTATAGTTCTCCTGTTTCAAAACTTCCAAACTAGTTTCTCATGGGAAACTCGATCAATAGCCTTTTTAAAGTCTAGATGATACAATCTGCCCATCCATCTTTTTGATCACTGAGGTAGACTGAAAAAACAAAAATAGAAATTAAAGTGATTCGATCAACAGCAGAAGGGAAAACCGGCACTAAACAGAAAATGCTAACTCAGACAATAGTACTAGTACAAAAATATTTCTATACACAAATAACCCGCACATAGAAGAGAGGAGCTTACGACGACATTTCGGTCCGACTTGGACCATTTACAAAGTCACACTAACCAGAAGTGGAGCAGGACAGCTATATATAGGCAGAAAGAAGAAGAAGAAGAAGCAGAAGAAGAAGCAGAAGAAGAAGCAGAAGAAGAAGCAGAAGAAGCAGAAGCAGCAGCAGAAGCAGCAGCAGAAGCAGCAGCAGAAGAAGCAGCAGCAGAAGAAGAAGCAGAAGAAGCAGAAGAAGAAGCAGAAGAAGAAGCAGAAGAAGAAGCAGAAGAAGAAGCAGAAGAAGAAGCAGAAGAAGAAGCAAAAGAAGCAGAAGCAGCAGCCGCAGCAGCAGCCGCAGCAGCAGCCGCAGCAGCAGCCGCAGCAGCAGCCGCAGCAGCAGCCGCAGAAGAAGCAGAAGAAGAAGCAGCAGCCGCAGCAGCAGCCGCAGCAGCCGCCACTGGATCAGGGGATTAAGTCATTCAAGTGTAACTACACAAAAAAAAAATTTATGCATCAATGGACTAACTCCAACCTGGCAGTACAAAGTATCTGGAATAAATTTAGCATTGTAGATGCCATCAGCTATGCTATAAGTGCATGGAATGAAGTGCCTCAATCAACATTAAATGCAAGATGCGGAAAGTTGTGGCCTTCTAAAGTTAATTCTTTCACTGTTTCTCTTGCTTGAGAGTTAGATTCAGGAAATTGTTCAGCTGGCAAGGAGATTACCAGGCGATGGTTTTGAAGATATGAATGAACTCTTAGAAGATGAAGACAGGAGTCCAGAAGAAATGTTGGCAGAGCTTGATGCACAGATACAAGGGAGTCAGATAACAGAAGAACAACCTAAAGAAAAACAGTTAACATTACAGCAATTATGTGAGTAGTTTCATATTTCTGGTAAAGTTGCAGACTTTTCACTGAAGAGGACCCTGACAAATCTAGAAGCAGTGCTTTGAAATGGGGTCTAGACCAGCTGATGATGCCTTACCGTCAGCTGTATAATGTACTGCAGGGTAAAAAGAGCCCAAAGATCCATTACAGAATTTATGCACACTCCAATACAACCATCGACTTTAGTATCAGAATCTCTACCATCCACTTCTGCCAACAACCATACACCTCAGCCCAGGAGGACCAAACCATGCATCAGGTTAAGTCACGCCTGTGACAACCTGATTCCTCATTTTTTCTTCTTCTCCCTCTTCCCCTTTCCTCTTTCCTTTTTTGTCTTTCTTCTGTGGCGTGTTTCTGTTTCTTCATTATTTATTTCATCACTTCCCTTTCCCCCCACCTCTGTGCACTTGCTCTCCCTCTATGGGCACCTAGCTCCCTTGCAGTGCTCCCCTTTCTTTATATTTGACTGGCTCCTCCTCCTTAGTTCCTCACTACCACCACTACTACTACTACTACCACTACTACTACTATTACTACTACCACCACTACCTCTTCCTGCCTATATACAGCCGTCCTGCTCCACTTCTGGTTAGTGTGACTTTGTAAATGGTCCAAGTCAGACTGAAACGTCGTCGTAAGCTCCTCTCTTCTATATGCGGGTTATTTGTGTATCGTTACAGTCACGGTATTGTGCCTTTTTTTTTGTTATTTCTATACAGGAATAAAGCTTACTAAAAAAAAAAGCAGCAAAGCTAAGGTTGGAGGAGAAATGATGAAGATAAGCACAAAACAAGGACGGAAAAATAAGTTTCAGAATAGTATCCAGAACTAAGAAACCATTAACCCTTTCAGGGTCCAAAGGCCAAATTTCAAAGTGCGCACCAGTGTCCAAGAATTTTCAAAAAATAATTTTGATTTTTTTCTTATGAAATGGTAGAGAATCTTTTTCTGAAGGTAATAAAACAAAAAGTACAAAATTTGATGGAAAATTGGCAAAATTATGCTCTTGCAAATTTTGATGTGTCAGCGATATTTACGAGCGGCGATTTTGCCGACTTTGACTCCCATTTTAGGCCAATTACAGTGGACCCCCGGTTAACGATATTTTTTCACTCCAGAAGTATGTTCAGGTGCCAGTACTGACCGAATTTGTTCCCATAAGGAATATTGTGAAGTAGATTAGTCCATTTCAGACCCCCCAAACATACACGTACAAACGCACTTACATAAATACACTTACATAATTGGTCGCATTCGGAGGTGATCGTTATGCGGGGGTCCACTGTATATTACTCCAGTCGACCAAATTCTTAGCTGTTTCACTAGTATTACTTCTATTCTATTGATTGAGCACAAGAAATCGTCAAATCAACTGTTTCAACTACAAAATAAAGTGATCGGAAATTGGTAATTTGGCCAATTTAATGCAAAGTTCAAAATATTCTAATTTCAAAATAGGGTCCAGAATAAACAATGCAGGCATTCCTGGAACTAAACTAACATTTCCTCTGTTCATCAGCTATGTTTTCAGGTTTTACAAATGAATTCCATTTTGATTTTTTATTCACATAATGAATTTTTATTCAAACAAAAAAATAGAAGATCTACTGTTATGCAATACTGTAATAATCGTATAAATAATATCACCACATTTGTGAACGTATATTAGACCCACCAGCTGGCATGTATTAGACGTGTGGGATCATTTGTTTACTCTTGAACATCGGCAAAAATTTAACATTTCTGTTATTTTGAGGTCAGTTTCAACCCATTTCCATTACTAAAACCAATCAAAATCATCTCTATTTCTGTAATGTATCTTCCATTCTATCAAATGAAACCAAGAAATCACAAATACAACTATAAAAAAACATGAAAAAACACTGCAAAGTCACTGTTTTAATCGAAAATTACGGTCTCAGTTTTTTTTCTCTCATTTTGCACTGTGTGCTGTAGTATTTGCCTTATGTCGTGCACACACACCACATAGATGTATTCTTTCATATCTAGGCCCAAATTTACTGCTCACAGCTTATCAGAGTGAGCTGAGCTCATGGCGTAGATCTATGGTTTGGACCCTCAACGTATAGCCATAGATCTACGGCACGGACCCTCAAAGGGTTAATGAGGAGTAACAACCAGTGCCACTTTATCCCCTTTACACTATGCCACCTCTCCCTCTCCTGCTATATAACCATCCTACTCCCCAGCTATGTCACCTACTGCATGCACTAGCAATTAGGAACCTGGAATCCCTTTTACCCTCACCCCACTACTCTCCCCCTCATGTCCTTTAACTGAATCCCAGAACATATAAACAAAACAGCAATGCAGTAAGCCTACTTACTGTTCAAGTTAGGAATGTCCATCTCACATCCAACTACTACTACTCATGTACTTGTCAAACCTACTGCACATATGGAACATCTGCTGCGTAAGAAGAGATATAAAGTTCGAAGGGACATTCCATCTGGCTGCAATTTCTTGAAGGACATGACAATCTCAGGGGTTATATACAGTCACTTTGACTTTTTTGAGTTATCCTAGATAATTTACATACATTACTACGTATGATAATGTGCAACTGTATGTGTGTACTTATACCTAAATAAACTTACTAACCCCAAAAATAAAAAATAAAAACGATGAATGGTAAACTTCTATGGGAGGGAATTTTAAATGCCTCTAAGCAATACAAGACAGATTCGAAAGGAAACTCTTAAGTCAGCTAAACTGAATGGAGCAATATGATAAGGAATCTTGTCTTGTGATTTTTCAGAGCATGAATAGAGAACTTCATTTTAAACTGTCGGCCTAGTCCTGGCAAATATGAAAACTGATAAAAAAAAAAATTGAGATCAACGAGGATCCTGGATAAAACATTCACAAATCAATTTTTTTTATTTCAACATTTCCTGGAAACACAATAATGTAATTACTATTCCAAATTTTTCACCCAGCAAACTAATTATGAAGACTGAGACATTTATGCAACACATGGGAATCTTTATTGAGGAAACGTTTTGCCACTGTGTGGTGTAACGTTTCCTCAATAGAGATTCCCATAAGTGTCTCAATCTTCAACTTGTAGGGAACTTAAGAGCTCAATAAACATATACATGATTGAGAATGAGTGGGTGTAATAGTTAACAGGAACAGCAAACAGAAGTGCATCAAACATCTTGTTTATAAATTTGTGTGAACTTTCTGTCCCTACATTATTTTGTTTCATTTACTAACTTCAAATTGCTCCAAATTCTGGAAAAGTTTCAGCCTCAACTATATAGTCTATCAATCAAGTACTAAAAGCAAACTTTTAGTTAAAAAAAAAAAAATACTGAAATCATGTCTTGAGCATAAATATATGGTTTTAATTGAAAATTGTTACCAGTAGGAAAATTAAAAGGCTGCTATTTATGTTACTTTTGCTGCAAATCACATTTATACAGATTTTTTTTTAAATGTTAGTTTGATCAAAGTAGTTACAAGTGCTGCATTTATAGTGATACACACTATATTCAGTGTTTGACTTTTCCTTGTACTGTACAGGTTTTTTAATTGCATGTGGTTGCATGTCATTTTTCTCAACCTTGTGGCTTGAGGTAGACCCCCAAAATCAATTCAGAATTTAAGACATAATATTGTGAGTAAATGCAACATTTTAAGCCTAGAGATAATCCAGTTGCTCAATCTTGGGGTGTTTGATCAACCTAATAAGTACATACAGAATGTTAAGAGTAGCAGATGTTGTCCTTAAGCTAAGAACAATACATAAAGTAGGAACTTTTGTATAAGCAAAACTGATATAAATTAACAAACATATGCATATAAGAAAAATGCAATGCAGTAGGCCTCTGTCCCATGCCAGTCAGACACTAATCAATATCTGATGTACTTTTAATCCTACCCAAACAGTGGGAGCTGGTGGCAATTCATGACAATTTAACAAAGGCTAATGATAACATATCCAACACCTGCCATAGTGGACATGAATATGGTTTTCTACCTTAGTAATTTTTATTAGTTTTTGAAGAAAGTTTAAGCAAACTCGAGTCTGTTAATTGCAATTAACCATCAACAAAAGTCAAGAACATAATGCCAGAAAAACAGCAAACGGGTTACAGTTCACAGGTGACAATTTAGAAGGTTATGCAATAGTTGTTTTTAGATAATGGTCAGAGCTTTTTTTGGTTTGTTTTGTTTAGGTAACTCAAAAATAATAACAAACCTAAGCTTGCCTAAAATTTCCCTCTAAATTTAGGTTAGGTTGGCTCTTTTTTTTTCTACCTAAATGCACAAACTATAACTGCCTCCATTCCATATTCCACCTAATACTTCAGAATTTACATAATACATTATTATTAAACTCAAAATGAGCCCATACCAACCTTATTATTACATTAATGGGTTAATGATAAACCCTTGGGTAAAAGAGCACCTCGGGGAAATGGCAGCCAATTAGGTTTGACACAAGGGCAAGCAGATCAGATTCAATTTCTTAAATCAAGAGCTCCAAACCACTATCAAAGAGCCTCCCTAGAAGGGATAGAACTAAATAAGAGAGGAAATGAAATTCTTTTTCAGGAAGTGCTTCCACTTCCTAGGTTAGCAAGTTTTTGTTAAGGTACACATAAATAGTTATAGATTATCATACATAGCAGCATGTGTGTAGATTACCTAGGATAACTCAAAAAAGTCAGTGACTTACTTCCATTGAGGTTATCATAAAATGTGATTCTGTTATCTAAAATGAATATATACAATTTGTAATTAATAAGAGCTGAATTACAAATGCCTTATGTGTAGTGTAATTAGCTCTGTACAGTACATGACTTACCTAGATGAAAAAGTAAATGAATAGGGGATAATATGGACTACATGAGCCACGAGAGAAATTTAGCCAGACACTGCAGATGGCAGAAAACAATGGAGTATATTTAGGCTACCAAGTTTGTAGGTTGTATAATGACCTGTTAACACTGATGTATGGGTGGTCTGATACACTTGTTTAAGATAAGACAGTCAAGACAATATGGGCACGTACACAATGTCTACACTGGTGCTCCCACATACAAGTACACCCACACACACACATTACGTGAATTTAAACCATACATACATATATATAATGCCTTACCTAAAAGAAGAATCATAATGTAAAATAACACTAGCCAAAAGGGAAAGAAATTGCATGAACAATCAATGGCAGACAATTAAGACTAAATATTAACAGTTTAAAGGCATGAAGACCCTTTAGAAGGCCCCAGGGATAAGGTATGACATACTTGTAAGAGTGAAGATGGGCTGGGCTGACACAGCCTTACTTCCACTCTACTATGGGGCCCATACCAACACTACCACAACCATAAACTTAACAGCACTAGGCACTCGGTTACTCTAATACTTTAACAAGATGAATTCGCGTGTTGGCATTGCCCCACATATACAAATGCAGTGCGGCTTACCTTACAGGCGAAATATTAGCAGAATCTTTACCAATGGCGACGGCAATAACCGACGATCGTCGTCCGAGCCTTTGGCCTTTCTATAACGTTATCCTCCCTTATTACGGGACTTCTGACAAGAATTGTGAGCTTACGTTAATTTATTAAGACTAATAATTCTCCACAGACGTGAATGAGCTCTAGATTTAGCATAAATCATAAGAATTTTTACGATACAAAATTATATCCCCCCTTGACCAGATTCTGTAGAAATCCAGAAGTGCCGACGTGACGTCACGACCAGCTGAGTCCTCCACCACAGGTAGTGGGAAGACCCGGCAAGTTTAAACTGATCTACCATCACTCATTAATAATAACATTGATCTACCATCACCCATTAACACTAACATTAATCTACCATCACCCATTAACACTAACACTTATCTACCATCACCCATTAACACTAACATTGATCTGTAATCACCCATTAACACTAACATTGATCTACAATCACCCATTTACACTAACACTGATTTACCATCACCCATTAACACTGACACTGATCTAACATCACCTGTTAACACTAACGCTGATCTATCATCAGTTCATCACCCATTAACACTAGCACTTATCTATCATCACCCATTAACACTAACACTGATTTACCATCACCCATTAACACTGCTCTACCAATACCTATTAACACTAACACTAATCTACCATCACCCATTAACATTAACCCTGATCTACCATTACATATTAACACTAACACTGATCCACCACCCCCATTAACACCAGCATTGAACTACCATCCCCATTTACACCAACTACCAACCCCCATTAACACCAATATTGATCTACCACTCCCATTAACAGCATCACTGGTCTACCACCCCCATTAACACTAGCACTGATCTACCATCCCCATTAACAGCAACACTGATCTACTACCCCATTAACACTAACACTGATTTACCACCCCCATTAACAGCAACACTGATCTACCACCCCTACTAACACTAACACTGATCTCCCACCCCCATTAACACCAGCATTAAACTACCATCCCCCACTTACACTAACACTGATCTACCACCTCCATTAACACCAGCATTGAACTGCCATCCCTCACATTAACACTGATCTACCACCCCCATTAACACTACAGTAAGAGTGAGGGTGGCAGTAAAAGTGGGGGTGGCAATAGTTGGGGTGGCAGTAAGAGTGGTCGTGGCAATGAGCTGGAGTGGTAGTAAGAATGGGGGTGGTAGTGAGAGTGGGGGTTGCAGTGATAGTGGGGGTGGCAGAGTGAGGGTGGCAGTGAGTGGGGGTTGCAGTGATAGTGGGGTTGGCAGAGTGGGGTTGGCAGAGTGAGGGTGGCAGTGAGAGTAGGGGGGGGGTAGCAGTGGCACTCGAGTGGGTGAGAGAGAGACGAGGCAGTGTGTGTGTGGTTGTCAGTGTAGTTGGGTGTGGTTGAGCAGCTCTCAACTTGACTGACTCCTTGTAACCAAGTCAACCTTTGCTGTCCTTGTACTTATGGTCGACGTTGCTGCCAGATAACCTTTTCCATTATTCAACTGAAAGCGCTGCTCTCTAAGATTATACTCACTGAAAATATAATTACAATATACAGGCCAGAGAAAAGATCAATTGGTGTGAATCTTAGGTGAGGCGCAAGATACAGCAGCGACTGTAAGCGGTTACATATTTTCGTGTGATATGTATGTGTCTATCAGTAAGGAGTGACTGCTGTAAGTGGCTACAGTGCAGCAAGTAGCGTAGAGGGAGGTGTTGAGAACAACTTGTCAAACATTCGTTTCAGGTAAGATGTGCGAGAAGTCTAATGGTTGGTGTGTCACTTGGTGGCACTAACATCCTGTGTATTATAATGTGTGTCTGGTTTAGTATAGTTACAAGTAGTAGGTTGGTACTAGACAGCAACCATCTAGGGAGTTACTACCCTCATCAAATGAGTGTCAGATGGAAACATATTGTCTTATTATTTTGCACTTTTCCAGGGTTGCTGTTTTATTTCTTTGTCTCATGAACACGTAAGATGACTGGTAAATCCTACAAATTTATACTTAGTCACTATACACATACCTGTACTTTCCTATGTGCGTCTTAATAGTTATTCTTTTAATATTTCCTATTCAATCTAGGAGGCCTGGTCTGAGACTGAGCAGTGGGGAAGATAATCCCCCCAGAACCACTGACAGATAACAGAGTTCACTGTACGTACTATAGTACAGGAGCAATGCAATAGACCGACAGGTCCATGCTAGGCAGGTGTTCAACTCACACAACCACTCCCTCTTATGTATAACCCATTTTTAACGGTACATAAATTATATGTTTCAGTGACACCACTTGGTACTTTTCCCACTTATCTACGACTATACTGCCAAATCTTTTCCAAATCTATATTTATCGAACTTTAATATAATTTTGTGACTGCGGTCATAATGAGAGATTTTCAGTGTTTATATATATGTATTGTATATATATATATATATATATATATATATATATATATATATATATATATATATATATATATATATATATATATATATAATATATATATATACACTCACCTAACTGTGGTTGCAGGGGTCGGTATACAATACCGACAGATTGGTAGGTAAGACACATAGGTAACAGTTAGGCAACTTTATTCCGAAACGTTTTGCCTACACAGTAGGTTTCTTCAGTCGAATACAGAAAGTAGGCAGTCGAATACAGAAAGTAGGCAGTCGAATGCAGAAAGTAGGCAGTCGAATACAGAAAGTAGGCAGTCGAATACAGAAAGTAGGCAGTCGAAAACAAAGTAGAGGGACGTGACCTCTCAATGGCTGCATTCTCACTACTACTACTACTCTGCACCTCTCCTTCCGACACTTCGCACTGTCACTTGATCTTCAGATAGTTCCAGACTATGGAACTGAACTTCTCCAGGCTCAAATCTACGACTTCAAGGGTAATGGACTGAATACATCGTCTTCACATCGCTACTGTTCCTGCCTATTTTCTGTATTCGACTGAAGAAGCCTACTGTGTGGGCGAAACGTTTCGGAATAAAGTTGCCTAACTGTTGTCTGTGTCTTACCTACCATGGCTACTAGGTCCTCTCTCCCTGCTTCCGGTTTGTTTTTGGGGCCTCCGAACTTGCTGGGTGTTTGCAGTGTGTGTGTGTGTGCGTGTGCGTGTGCTTGTGCGTGTGCGTTTTGCGTGTTTGTGTGTGTGTTTTGGGGTTGTGGTGTGTGAAAATTATGCTGGCCTTTTCCCCAAACCAAAGGGGCAGGGTGACCCAAAAAGAAATACTTTCATCATCATTTACACAATCACTGCCCTTCCCAACAACCACAGATACGACACAATTTTGCCCACTCTAAACAACAAATATCCCGGGGCCCTTTTTTTAGAGGGCAACATAGTGCTTTCCACTTCCAGGCCCAAAAGTCCCCCTAACCTTTTTCCCCCCTGAACCCTTTTTTCCAAAAAAAATTTGCCCCTGCAAACCCTCCAACAGCAAAAAACCCCAAAAAACCATTTGCCCCCCCCACTTTTATCTAAAAACACCCCACACATGCCGCTGTTTGCCAAAAGCCCCTTGACACAAAAACCTTTCTTTTACCCCTCCCTCCATCCTTTCTAGGAAAAAACCCCTACCCTGGCCTTCTCTCCGCTACAAAATTTATCACCGTCCAAGTCATTCAAATTTTGCTCCTTTCTCTCTAAATAACAAAACCCACCTCAACTATTTTTCCCTCAGCCCAAATTTTTCCCACACCACAAATTTCCCTCTAAAATTAATATTTAAAACCACCCCATTCCCCTTAAACACGACATCCCCCCTTTGGCCTCCAGCCCCCTTTTTAAAAATGCAGCTTTTAAACAACCCATGCTTTAAAACCCATATACTCTCATACTTTCCCCTTTCTTTCCTCCATGGAAATTTGTTTTTGTCTCCACAGATCCCTTTAGTGCACCACCCATTTTATTGCCCTTCATCAGTTCTGGTTTACCCCCATCCTTAAAAAACCCTCCACCGAAAATGTCCACTCCAGAATATCTGAACACATTCATTTCTACTAAACTCCCCCCATCACCTTACTTTTTTCCATGTTCACTTTTTTTATAAAACTCTTTCTTTATAAAAACTCCCCTCAATCTCGTCCACTACCCTTGCAGGGTTTTTTTTTATAATCTCCCAAAAGCACAGTATCAAACCCGCAAAAAATAACTGGGGTCTACTCCCATTTTGTATTTGATTCCCCATAATTTAATCCCACCCCTCTCCCCAACACCCTAACATTTACTTCTTTTACAACCCCATCTATAAATATATTAAACAACCATGGTGACATTACACATCCCTGTCTAAGACCTACTTTTATTGGGAAGTAATCTCCTACACACCCTAACCTGAGCCTCACTATCCTCATAAAAACTCTTTACAACATTTAGTAACTTACTACCCTTTATTTATTTTTATTTATTTATTTATTTAGTAATTTAAGCATACATACAGAGGTACAAAAAATACAGGTAAGAGCAGCATGCCAAAGCCACTTATATGCATAGCATTACGGGCTGGCTTAAAATTATCTTAAGATTAACTAAGCAATGATGAAATCAGTGATAAAACATTATTGTAAACAGATAACTATAAAGCACAAATGAGTATTACAAAGACAGGTCATATGGTTGCTTGCATTGCTGTACATTCAGTCGAATGGAGTATTCTGTTAGGTAGTGTATTAAAAAAATAACAAAGTTAGATTGGGTCCTAGGTTTAACAATTTGTGGGTATAATTGTGAGTAACATATAGGATATACAATTTATAAGGTTCAGTTATTCAGTATTTTTTTTGGTTTTTTAGTGAGTAAGTGAATCTTTGAGAAGAGACTTGAATTTATAAACAGGTAGTGTTTCTTTTATATTTACAGGTAATGAATTCCAGATTTTAGGGCCTTTTATGTGCATTGAGTTTTTGCATAGCGTGAGATGGACACGAGGAACATCAAAGAGTGATCTGTGCCTTGTGTTATGGTCATGTTCTGTTGAGGTTGGCAAGATGTTTGAGGGGAGGGTTAATATCAGAGTTAAGTGTTCTATGTATGTAATAGGTGCAGTAATAAGTATGGATGTTTTGTATGGTGAGTAGGTTAAGTGTTTTGAAAACCATACCCCCGGCCGGGATTGAACCCGCGGTCATAGTCTCAAAACTCCAGCCCGTCGCGTTAGCCACTAGACCAGCTAGCCACAATAAGATTCATCCAACTAGGTATATTTCTACACCATAGGAAGGTTAGCACAGGCACCTCTGTGACCACAAATGCAAGTTTTTACAGACGAATCTCCAGCTAGCGTGGCCGTGACGAACTCTAGCTCAAGTCCCTTCACTGCCGTTAACATGACTCAAGAAATCGTAATGACACGATTGCAAATAAACCATACCCCGTAATCGTGTCATTACGATTTCTTGAGTCATGTTGACGGCAGTGAAGGGACTTGAGCTAGAGTTCGTCACGGCCACGCTAGCTGGAGATTCGTCTGTAAAAACTTGCATTTGTGGTCACAGAGGTGCCTGTGCTAACCTTCCTATGGTGTAGAAATATACCTAGTTGGATGAATCTTATTGTGGCTAGCTGGTCTAGTGGCTAACGCGACGGGCTGGAGTTTTGAGACTCTATGACCGCGGGTTCAATCCCGGCCGGGGGTATGGTTTATTTGCAATCGTGTCATTACGATTTCTTGAGTCAGTGTTTTGAATATTGGTGGAGTGTGCTGCCTGTAGTGAGAATTTGTTATCATTATAACTGCAGCCTTTTGTTGGGTAATTAGTGGTCTGAGATGGTTAATTGTTGTTGAGCCCCATGCACAAATTCCATAGGTGAGATAGGGGTAAATAAGAGAGTGATAAAGGGCCAGGAGGGCTGACTGTGGAACATAGTACCGTATCTTCGATAGTATACCTACAGTCTTGGAAATTTTCTTAGAAATTTGTTGTATATGTGTATGAAATTTGAGTCTATTATCAAGGTGGATTCCTAAGAATTTTCCCTCTGTTAGCTTTGTGATAGGTGATCTGTTTATCGTTATGTTAAGAGGTACATCTGTAGCTCTGTTACCAAACTGAATGAAGTAGGTTTTGTCAATGTTTAGTGTAAGTTTGTTTAGTCTCATCCAGGTAGATATTTTCTGTAATTCGGTGTTTACAGTATTGGCTAGCGTGACTGGGTTCGGGTGAGAGAAGATGTATGTAGTGTCATCTGCAAAAAGTGTGGGTTTGAGTAATTGCGAAGCATTTGGTAGGTCATTTATGTATAGGAGAAAGAGAAGAGGGCCAAGGACACTTTCCTGTGGGACACCAACTGTAATTGGTTGAGCGGAAGAGCTTGCCCCATTTGCATACACATATTGGCTTCTGTTGCTGAGGTATGACTTGAGGTAGTTGAGGGAGTGCCCTCTAATACCATAGTGTGACAATTTTACGTGGAGCAAGTCATGGTCAACTGTATCAAAAGCTTTACGTAAGTCATTGAAGATCCCCAGTGGGACTTCTTTTTTCTCTATTGCAGTGTATATATGTTCTAGCATGTGTATAATAGCATCATTAGTATTTTTATTAGGCCTGAATCCAAATTGGCAGGGGTTGAGAATGTTTTGGGAGATGAGGTAGGAGTAGATTCGTTTATGAATTAATTTTTCGAAGATTTTTGAGAGAGGGTGTAAATTGGATATTGGCCTATATTTATTCAACTCTGTTTGGTCTCCTCCTTTATGGATCGGGGTGACCCTTGCTATTTTGAGAG